ATGGTTTTTTGTTTTTTTTTGGCGGTGTTAAAGTATCTTGCTGAATTGGTAAAGATTTTGGTGATCTGAATTACTTAAATGAATAATTTTTACTAATATGGAGGAGATGGATTGTTTATAATAGAGTTTGTGGAGTTAGAGAAATTAATATTCGTTTACTTATATCTGAATATTAGCCTGGGATTTGGTTTGGGAAGTCTTGGGGGGTGGGATATAATATTGTGTAATAATATTGTGTAATACTGGTGTTGTTTTTTTTATGATGAAAACAATAAAAATTTTATATTGAAAAAAAAAAAAAGAATTTGATATTTCTACTGATTTTTCTTATGAAATGGATACACAAATGATTTTGGTTTCTTTTTAATGATGTTTTAATAATTGTTTTAACTGGTGTGTATAAGATTAGTTGTTGTTTTTTTCTTAATTTTTATTTATGCTAGTTTCAATATAGCCTGAACTTCTATTGGGGGGGGGGAGAGGGAATACAACACATAACAAGCAAATTCCTTGCTTTTCTTTGGCTATTCATATTGCAATGACATTTGATCTCACCTTGCTATTAATGCCCAGACTCTGTTCTTTCAGCAATGCATGGATAACTTAAGTATTTTTAATGCTATAATATATGAAAAAATAATAGCTAGAATGACAGAAAGGAGTTACTAACCCAGAAATAGAGACAGGAAAATCTGCACGCTTACTTAACAGTGCACAAACATGTATCTCAAACCTCTTTACACAAGTCATCAAGAAACAGTGGAATCATAAAGATTAACTACAAATAATAGAGAATGCATTAGAAAGTCTAAAGTTAAATATGAACTGGGATTGATGAAGGATTAGGGTTAGGGCAATAAGAAAACAAAGCAGGCTTCTTCATATAGGCTCAGAATAAATAGAATATACTACATGCTCCATGGATATACAAAATGTTAACAAATAACAAAGAAAAGGCTAAACTTCTGTTTGTATTTTTAACTAGAGGTATACTGTATATTTTATCAGACAATTCAAAAGACCTGTGGTAGGGACAGGATTGTGTCTTGATAGGAACTCTTTCATCATATTTCTCTTCACTATGCATGAGTTTAAATCTCAAAGACTATATAAATTGGGCAATGCCAGACTTTGCAGGTGTCTGGCAGAACATGTAGTTGTTAATATGGGGAATGGATGGAATGCCAGATGACTGGAAGAGGTCCTATCTTCCAAAGGAGGGAAGTAGTTCATTGACTTGATACTTGAGAAGATCCTAGACCTGATCATATATTGTTCAATCTATAAGCAACTTGAAAGCATCAATTTATTAAGAATCAGGCTGGTCATGTTAATGGAAATGTAGGAAATTAAAATTATGTATATTTGTACCAAGAGATCTGCTAATTAAGAATACACTTCATACTGATAGTATGCTCTTTGCCTTCAGTTGCCTTCAGTTCAGATTTATTGCATCTTTTTATTAATCCACATATTACCACAGAAAGTGCAAATTAGTTTGGTTGGCTTGAAGATATGGATCAAAATAAATTCTGCCTGTCCTAGGTACATCATGGTCTAACCGATTCCTTCCTTGCTTCTATATCTTTAAGCAAGTGAATCATTGGTAGACCTTAGTAAATTAAAACACATGTCCAGATTGTGAAAAGCATCTCCTGTTGATTTTTACAGATTGGTTTATGTCAAAGACACTGAATCAGCCGAAAACAATTTTTTTCTTCAAACTGCTAGGAACATTCAATATCCCATTCCTGAAATAAATTGTGACTTGATTACATTGAATACAAATCAGATCTCAGTAGACAGCATGAAGAACTTCAATTTCAGTAAAACTTTAAGGGCTGCTTAGTGGTGCCACTTTTTTTCAGTCTGCCATATTTCTTGGTTTTATTAGTACTGGCCAGATGGCTGTCACAGATGGAAAATAAAAGTAACAGCAGGGGATGATGAGAACAGTAAATAAATTCCTAAGAAAAATTAAAACAGCTAATGCATACAGTGAGAAAGAATTCAGAATAAAACCATAACACTGCTATAATACACAGTATACATCTCTGGTTTTTAGATTTTCAGGCCTCCTAAGCAACTGATAGCATTTACTGATTTCAGAGGCTAAGCAGGATCAATCTTGATTAATAATTATTTGGGCGATCACTTGAAAATTCTAGAGCAATTGGTTAGAGTGGGAAATTAGAAGAAGGTGGCAATGGCAAACCAATTCCACAATGTTGTCCAGAAAACTACATAAATGTTGTCAAAAGTCAAACTCAAGGGCATCTTTGCCTTTACATTTTCTGAACCCTTTGTTTTTCTGTAGAGTAAGCATTTCTGTATTTTATCAAAGAATTATTGAATTGGAATGGACTGTTGAGGCAATGAGTCTAATTTGCATAGTCAGCATAGGAACTACAGAGAGATTTCTTTAATCTTCCTATGAAGAGATCCATTATGAAAGAGCTTATCACTTTGCTAGGTATTTTGTTTCAGTATTAGTTTTTTGTAACATTTAGTTAGAATCTGTTTTCCAATATAAAA